TGTGCGGATGATCGGCAGAATGGACAACCTACTTTATGAGAGGAGGCTGGAAGAACTAGGCCTAGTGAAATGAAGGCCGAGAGGGGGTCTGATCATTCTTTAAAAATACGTACGTGTGTGTGCGTGTGAGAGAGAGAGAGAACACCAGGGAGGATTGGGGCTATTTAAGCAAAAGCACAATGCTGGCACAAGAACAAACGGGGCTAAACTGTCCACGAAAACTGGAAATTAGGAGGGTTTATCATTAGCACAGACAGTGCTAGGCTGATGCAAGAACCCTTCCTTTGACCTAGCTATTTCCTCTCAGGCAGGTGGATTGACACCCCGCCCTGTCCCGTGCTGCCTCCCCTAGTCCTGCACAGGAATCCCCAATGGGTCTGCCCCACACCCACGCAGTGTTCCTGGCCCTCCCTCCCACTCCTCCCATTTTGCCTGTCACTGCCTAAGAAGCTCCCTTTGCCTGCTCACTGGGCAGGTAGGCAGCAGCAGGGACTCCCGTGAGCTCAGACAGGCTGTTCTACTCCAGGCACGTATGGCACCTGAGCACCGTGGGACGTGTAGTAGCTTTGGCAGCCCTAGCTCACTGACTGTTGAGAGTCTGGAACGACCACTGGCCAGCCAGCTCTAGCAATGCGCTCTGCCAGGGAGAAATCCTGGAGTCCCATCACCTACGACGTGGGAAGATCCCAGCCAGTCGGAGTCTCCCAGGCCATAAAACCTCCACACACGTTTGGTAGGACCCAGCAGGGCTTTGCGACAGGACGTTACACTTGAAATCAGACAAATGCTCTTGGGGTTTCCTGCAGCAGGCCACAGAGTGGCCTCCCAGCTCTCACCTTCGCAGCTTTTCCCGTCACTGAGGAGCTTGTACCCGCTGGGGCAGGAGCAGCGGTAGGAGCCGGGAATGTTGACACAGTTGTGCATGCACAGACGAGCGGCTCCCTCCAGCTTGAAAACCTCGCACTCGTTTATATCTGCAGAGGAAACACACTGTCCTGTACAAGGCAGGCCCTGCCCCAAAGGGGCCATCCCAGCAAAGAATTCACGTGGACAATCGTTTTGCTCTTTGCCAGGACAAGAACAGCGGCAAAACATGCATTACCTCCCAAGCGTGGCCAGGAACGGGCCACAAAGGTGAAATGCGACTCCCTCCCGCTTTGGGACTGGTTGGGTTGGGTTGGCTTGATTCTAGCCCAGGCGCCAAGCCAGTACCAGTGAGCAGTACGCAGGCCATGGGCCATACCAAATGTACATGCAAATCGGGCTAGTAGTTCCCTGCCGAAAGGACCAGTGTAAACAGGTTCAACCCTCAGAGTCCACTACGAGCTAATTGTGGTACAGAGAGTTCAGCCTGAGCAGTCACCATTAAGGCCGGTGGCCCTTTTATTACGCACATTCGCGTTACACCCGAGCCGGATCGGCCTGCTGGCGGAGTAGGGGGGTTCGGGCCCGCCCCCTCTCCGAACCCCGGCCCAGGGCCCTAAAGGCAGGGACCCGTGGTCCCTCCCTCGCGGATGGGGGAACGCCCCAAAACACACCCGCTCACGGGCTCCACGACCCCGCCCTGGGCCGCTTCCTACTCCACCAGGCCTCCCGGCCCGTCTCCCTTGACCCCGCTGGCCTCACCTCTCCTTCTTTCTCCCCTCCTCCAGCTCGGTCCGCCGCGCCCCCCTGCACCGTGCCGGTCCCGGGTTTAAATCCCCCGCCGGCTCCATTCCCCCTCCACGTCACTTCCCCTGCGATGCCTCCCAGCCACCCTTCCCCCGTGACATCATCCCCCTGCGCCTCGCCGGCCCCTCCCTCTTGGGCCCTGCCGGTCGGCGCCTCCTGCCTCCCGACGCTCCCCGCGCCGACTGCCGTGCCCTGTCACCCCGCTCGGCGCCTCCCGGCGCGCTCTCAGTGCGGGGCGTGAGTGCCCCGTCACAACCAGCATGCTGGGTTTTGCAAGTTATGGATTTCCCGAGGTTCCCCCAGTTGCAACAGACATAAGTAGATTCGCCGTGTTTAAAATCCACCGAGCACAACACACTCTGACACACTGATTTACAGACAGGAATCATTACATCCACTGCTAATATGCAGGCCCTTTTGTGAGGCTGCAGTCACGGGACACAGCTGTGTAGGACAGGGAGTGGAGGAGGACAGCTTCCCATGGAGCTGCAGGGACCGGCTCCAGGGTACAAAGTGGCTTTAGGATATGTAGGAAGTGGCCTTCTGCCTGAAACGGCAAGGTGAAGGCAAAGCTGTTCTGCTTGTAGAAACCAGAGTCTGACCAAATATTAAGACCCTGGCAATTTATTTTTGAACTTAACAAGGCATTTTGGGTCCCGGGCAAGTTCCCAATAGGTTCTGGCTGTCACCAAGTGTGGGTGTCCATGCCTTACTCAGCTGAAATTGCAGTGGACTAATTGACAGTCAATGGGCTACACTGTGATTTCCCCAACACTTGCAAAGTAATGCCAGGAGATCTTTAATAGCCCCTCAGCCCTGGATTTTATCTCTCAGCCCGAAGATGGCACCTCCGCAGGCAGCGTCTCTGGACCACGTGTCGGGCCACTGGCCCCGTCCTGACTCAGAGGGAAAGTGTCCTCTCCTGTTGCTCCCCCAGCAGCACCTGGATTTTCCTTGGCCGTTTCCTGTGCAAGTACTATCTGGACCCCGCACCTTAGTTTGTGAAATGGGACAGAGCACAGGCCTCAGAGAAGATCACAGCTTCGGGACAAGCCGTCTCTGAGCACAAAGAAAAGGGGAAGCGGGCTATGCCGTGTGAAAGAGCACCGCGGCGATACAGCATTCGGGAATGTTGTGAAACCAGATTGCCCAGGATTTGCAGAAGTAACTAGGGATCGGAAGTCTCCCCATGTTGGAGCTTAAAGGAGGCTGATGTTCAGAACATGCTGAGCACCCGCCCTCGGAGCACCAGGGCCCTCAAAGGCATGTCCTGTCCAGCACCCCACAACAGAGACACCCCAAATCACGACTCACTTTTGAATACTGGCTCGTGACAGTCTAGAACTTCTAGGAGGTCCAGACATGGGTTCCTCCCACCAAACCCCCTACCATAAAGGTGCGGGATAGGATCATGAGCTGATGCTAAAACGTTAAAGGAAAAAGGCAGCCCCACGGAACAACTACACTCAACAAGCCCAGTCCAATACCAGCTAGCAGCAGCTACAACAGTTGGCTTCTTCCAAGCAGCTCTCCCCACAGTAATCGCTCATAAAAGTTGCTGCAGCTACTGACGATTCAGCTGCATAGATGTGTCATGTATGCATGTGGCAGCAGGTGGGGGAAAGCCACCGATGGATAGTGCTGCTCATCTCCTACCCTGACATATGCTGTTGTCGGCCGTGCCGCTCATGTGGAAGCCGGCTTCGCAGCTGCAGTGCTGGGTCCTGCCGATTTTGGCGCAGCGTGGCCTGCGACTGAAAGCTGGGTCGTTTGTAACGCTCCATGAAGGGGGGGCTACAGGAGAGAAGAGAGGAAACCGTAAAGTGCTTCTAGGACGTCTGGCTCGTGGTTTCCGCAGGAACATTTTCAAAAGCGCCTCAGTCACTTAGGAATCTCAGTCCCATTTTCAAAAGCAAGTCGGACTTTCAGACCTAGATTTTTAAAGGTAGTTTTGAAAATTCCACTAGATGCTTCTATGCATCCTTGGGCACCCATTAAAACTCTAGCCTCGAGGAGCTTAAATCTTACTGAAAATCACTAGGAAATATGCTCCTAAGTCACTTAGTAACTCATGAAATTGTTTCCCTAGGGTCCCTACTAGAGCCACATGATTTTAGTTTCTCGTTCCTATAGTTTTACTTGAGTTTTTAATCACTATTCCTCTTGCTCAGGGGCATAGGTGACGTGTAGGTGCAGGCATGTGGGCTGAAGTGTTTCCTAAGATTTCTGATTGGCCTGGCAGGGGGTGGGAGAGTGAGAGAGGGTCTGTTCTTCTCCCATTGCACCTTCCCGCTGGCATGCTCAGCCCCTGCCTTGGCAGCTGGGCCCAGGCAGGGGACTATTTGCTATTGATTAACCATGTTGTGTGACTTGTTATCGAAGCCACGTGGCATTTTTTCTCCTTGATGAGACAGGGTCAGACGTGTGAAAGTTCATGGTCTTTGGAAGCTCTTTGGGAGGAGAACGCTCCTTCCGTTCCGTGTTTGTACAGCGCCCGGCGCAAGGGGAGTGGGCCTCTAAGCACTACCGCAGTGGAAATCGTTGTCATGCTGAGGTGCGAGGCTGATATCTGAGAATGGGCAGGGCCTTCTGCCATGCTAGAGACTCTGTCACAGGGACCCACGTTCCGTACCTGTTTGCAGTTGGTATTGGCAGCTCTCGCCGGCCCAGCCTTGAGAACAAGAGCATCGGTACTGGTTTACTCCGTCCACACAAGTGCCACCGTTCTGGCAGGGGTTACTTGAGCATTTGCTGATCACTAAGGGGAAAAAACATTTTTAAAACAAACCACACAGGCTCTGGCTTTCCTAGCGTTAGGCCTGATCCTGCAGTAAGGGTTGGGGGGCCAAGCTAATAGAATCATAGGACCAGAAGAAACCTCGAGGGCTCATCAAGTCCAGGCCCCTGCACTCAAGGCAAGACCAAGCACCGTCTAGACCAGTGGTTCCCAAACTTTTTGGCATCACACCCCCCTTTTTGATTTTTGAACCCCCCTCCCCCACAAATATCAGCAAAACTTGTTGAGCAAAAAAAAAAAAGGAACTGAACAGGGCAGCAAAACTTGATAGGGGGAGGGGGGAGGGGGGAGGGGGGGGGCTGGATCACCTCGTGCCCCAGCTGGAATTTCTTCACGCCCCCCAGTTTGGGAACCCATGATCTAGACCATCCCTGACCGGTGTCTAGGTGCCTGTCCAACCTGCTCTTCAATATCTCCAGGGATGGAGATTCCACAACCTCCCCAGGCAATTTATTCCAGTGCTTAAACATCCTGACAGGTAGGAAGTTTTTCCTAATGTCCAACCTAAACCTCCCTTGCTGCAGTTTAAGCCCATTGCTTCCTGTCCTACCCTCAGAGGCCAAGGAGAACAATTTTTCTCCCTCCTCCTTGTAACAACTTTTTAGATACTTGAAAGCTGCTCTCATATCTCCTCTGTTTTTCCCCCTTTGACTAAACAAAGCCATTTCTTTCAATCTTCCCTCATAGGTCATGTTTTCTAGACCTTTAATAATTTTTGTTGCTTTTCTCTGGAATTTTTCCCATTTGACCACATCTTTCCTGAAACGTGATGCCCAGAATGGGACACAATACTCCAGTTGAGGCCTAATCAGTGTGTAGTAGAGCAGAAATACTTCTTGTGTTTTGCTCACAACACTCCTATTAATGCATCCCAGAATGATCTTTGCTTTTTTTTACAACAGTATCGCAATGTTGATTCATATTTAGCTTGTTGTCCACTGTGACCCTAGATCTCGTTCTGCAGTCTTCTTCCTAGGCATTTTGTATGTGTGCAACTGATGGTTCCTTCCTAACTGGAGCACTTTGCATTTGTCCTTATTGAAATTTATCTTATTGACCTCAGACAATTTCTCCAGTTTGTCTAGATCATTTTGAATTCTGACCCTGTCCTCCAAAGAACTCGCAACCCCTCCCAGCTTGGGATCATCTGCAAATTTTATCAGCGTACTCTCTATGTCATTATCTAAATCGCCGATGAAGATATTGAACAAAACCAGTCCCAGAACTGACCCCTGTGAAACCCCACTTGCTATGCCCTTCCAGCATGACTGTGAATCATTGCTAACTACTCTCTGGGAATGGATATCCAACCTGTTATGTACCCACCTTATAGTAACTCTGTCTAGGTTGTTTCCCTAGTTTGTTAATGATTAATCATAATTTGTAATACCTGCACGAAATAGAACTCTCTAATACTGATACATTTACATCAAGGTTTAACAATCAGTGCCCAACATTTAGGGTCTAAATGTTAATGGGGGCGAGGGGGAGAGAGCTGGATCCTTAGCACTTTTGTAAATTAAGGATTTAGAAGCCTAAAATAGGGATTTAGGAACTTAAACTGAGGCACCCGTTTTTCCAAATCTCGGCCTGAATTGTGCAGCCGGCCTTTTCCTCACCACATCACGTGTCCCATGCGAGCGTCCAGCCCCACTACCCAGAATTCCCTGGGCAGCTTCAGTGCATGTGCATTTGGTTTTGCTGTTTCAAGTCAGCAGGTGTATTACTGCGGGTGCAGGGCCCCTGGGCCAGGTGTGAGGGGCTGGCTCTGCGCTCCCAGAAGCGGTGGGGCAGAACGGCCTGGAGCTCCGGGGCTTGGGGCACTCCCCGTCGGCGGGCCTGTGAGGGTGCCGTGAGCGTGTCTGGCTGCATCACCAAGCAGCCAACATCCCAAAGGGTCTTTCCCGGTGGGTTTGATTAGCGCACAACCCCACCGCTTGCAGGGTGGTAAATGGTCACACAACAAAGGAGAGAGAGTCCCAAGCCCCTGCTCAGCACATTCCGGACCTAGCTCACGTCGGAGGAGTGGGAGCGAAGGCTGCCCGGGCCATGTGGACAGCAGGCCCCTAGCGCACGCCAACAGCTGAGCTGGCTTGGGCAGCAGGCCCAGAGCCCGGATATTCCAGGCCTGCCAGAACATGACGTGATTGACCAAGACGTGAGGGCGCATCCACCGCCCTGTCCTTGAATGTGCTGCCAGCGCAGATGCAAATCTCGCCCCGCGCGTGCTGCCGGCGATGATGGTGTGCATGGGCCACACGTACACCTGGGCTGCAAGCTGGGGGGGAGGGGCACGGCATGTCCCAAAGTGGAATGCGCACCAGTGGTGGCCCAGGTGTGCAGCAAAGGCGTGCAGGGCTTCCTCGGCTGCCAAGCATTTTCCCGTCCAGGAAAGCTACATAAAGCCTTCTTTCTTTCGAATCGACATCCCAAGCCTGGGCAGATTAAATGGCTCTCCCCCCCTTCGCCCCAGCGAGCCTGGTCTCTTTCTAAACCTCTTGGGGAACATTTTAACCTGCCTGGACACTCGTTAATGGCTCTCAAAGTCGCCACCTTATTTCAAACCAATTTCAAAAGCCAGCTCGACGGGGAAGCTACGGAACTCCTCTCTGTGCCATTGATTTGAAAACCAGACGCCTTGCTCCATTCATCTGGAGAAGAGGGTCGTGCCCAGGAAAGCTCATGGCACTATCTACATGTTGTGTGAGTCCTGCAGCCCCTCAGAGACTATCTGCTGTTTTTTAAGTTTTTCCAGTTACAGGCTAATCTAACTCCTGCTCTGAAAGAGTATGGCCGAGTTCATCTCCCGCGCACTGAGATTTCAGCAATGCAGGGGGTATTTGCCGGGAGCTTAATAGTCCATTAGCATTTTAGACAATGTGGTGGAATTTCCTTAGACAAACACCACTTTCAATCGGCAGAGCCCCGAGCTATGTAAGGCTTGCCAGGCCTACTGCGTGAATGTCAATAACCCAGGCTATCAAGAGAATTTTGGCAATAGGGGGTCATTTTAGGAGCCGAAGGACTGATACACACCATGGGCTTTATCCAGAACAAATTGCACGGTTTGTTTCACACGGCATCCAACCTCAATACAGGCCTGATTTCAAACTAAGACTGGAATTCGGTCCTTCCCTCTGAAATGCCAGGGATGAAAGGCCTGCCTCCAAAAAGCTCATGCCTAGCAGGAGGCTGGATTTATTTTTCAAACTTTCTCCCAGAACTCTGCCCTGACCCTGAGCTCCTCCACGGAGCCACTCCACGCGCCATCCCTCCGGGGTGAGTTCTGTGGGACGTTTGAGACGTGGACTAACTCGTTATCAACTGAAAGACAAAAGCAGCGGCTCCACGTGATGGGTGATGCCTGGCTCTCTCAGCAAAAGGAGAGCACAGATATCTCAGCGGGGCGCAGCAGAGGTCACTGAAGATCAGCTGGGAGAGGGGGTGAGGGTGGTGTAGTCAGTGACGCTGTGATTCCAAAGTGTTTGGTTGCTGTAGGTGCTGCTGGTCCATAATTCATGTTAGGATTTGTAGGACGGTTATAAAATCAATAAAGGCTTCATACACAAAGCAGGGCCTGTGTTCACAGACCCACCAACTTTAAACAATTTGTGTTGCATTAAAGATAGTTTGTTATCAGAATCATTTACATTTAGGCTACCTCTAGACTGGCATGATTTTCCACAAATGCTTTTATCGGAAAAGTTTTTCCGTTAAAAGCATTTGCGGAAGAGAGCATCTAGATTGGCACGGATGCTTTTCCGCAAAAGCACTTTTTGCGGAAAAGCGTCCATGCGAATCTAAATGCGGTTTTGCGCAAGAAAGCCCCGATCGCCATTTTCACAATCGGGGCTTTTTTGCGCAAAACAATACCGCGTTGTCTACACTGGCCCTCTTGCACAAAAGCATTTGCACAAGAGGGCTTTTGCCCAAACGGGAGCAGCATAGTATTTCCGCAAGAAGCACTGATTTCTTACATGAGATTGTCAGTGTTCTTACGGAAATTCAAGCGGCCAGTGTAGAGAGCTGGCAAGTTGTTCTGCAAAAGCAGCTGTTTTTGTGGAAAAACTTGCCAGTCTAGATGCAGCCTTATACTTTAAGGTTTGGTTTTAGCACTCCGGAGAAGCTTTGATCTCTTCCTCAGCTTGTCTTTGGGATGCCTGGGGTCTTAGTGTTTCGGTCCTTTTTTATGACTTCCTAAGCCCACGCCTAAAAGAGTGTAAATACTAATATTGCTTCTCTGGCACTTTGTGTCAGTAGCTTTGAACATGCTTTACAAAGGAAGTCAGTGTCCTTAGCCCCATTTTACAGATGGGGAAACAGAGGCAGAGGGTGAGGAAGTGATTTGCCCACATTGCCTGCAGCCAGTCAGTGGCAGAGCTGGCAGCGAAACAGCCAGTCTCCTGAGGCACAGACCAGTGTTTTAACCACCAGGCAATGCTGCCTTGTACAAAGGTGCAAATATCCACATCAGGGCGAGCACGTTTCTGCCATTCTCTGTTACAAGTGGTCTGAAGATGGAGCAGCCCTGGAAGGCGGTTCTTGGCTCCTTGGCTGAAGCATCCATGTTAGCAGGGGGTCAGCAGGAGGTTTATCTAGCATCAGTCATTCTTCTCCCATCCTTGTTTCTGAATGGGGGCCTCTGGACGGTCCATGTGCACTAAGTGAAAGCAGATGGCAGCGCCTTGTGAGCGGCACGTGCACCGTTTCTATAAAGGCTGCTCCACAGTGTTTCTTTGAAGCGACTCAAAGTGCTGCATTCTGAAGGGAGCGGAGCCCAGCCTGGCTCCGGGAATGTCAGGGGCCAGGAGCCACGGGGACTGCTCCAGGGGGCATTCCAGGGCGGGTCTTTCTGAAGAGCTGCCAATATTTTCCCAGCAGGCCCCTCCGGAATGTCTCCGCTTTCTCTGTGATCAGGCTGCTGCGTCAGGACTGGAGCAGGGCTGGGAAGAGATTTGCATGGGGCATTGAGCAGTCATGGGTGTCGTCCTTTGGTGCAATCTGGGGCATCCCCCAAAGCAAAAAAATGTGATCTTCAGAAGTGTCTTCAAATGTCCCAAGTGTTAATCACAGAATCCTAGCGCACTAGGACTGGCAGGGACCTTGAGAGGTCGTCAAGTCCAGTCCCCTGCCCTCCCGGCAGAACCAAGCACCGTCTAGAGTTCTAGACCATCCCTGACAGGCGTCTGTCCAACCTGCTCTTCAATATCTCCAGGGATGGAGATTCCACAACCTCCCCAGGCAGCTTATTCCAGTGTTTAACCACCCTGACAGGTAGGAAGTTTTTTCTAATGTCCAACCTAAACCTCCCTTGCTGCAGTTTAAGCCCATTGCTTCTTGTCTTTCATGCCCCTCAGTCTTCTCTTTTCCAAACTAAACAAGCCCAATTCCTTCAGTCTTCCCCCATAGCTCGTGTTCTCTAGACCTTTCATCATTCTTGTTGCTCTTCTCTGGACCTTCTCCAATTTCTCCACATCCTTCTTGAGGAGTCGGGTCTTTCAAACTCACAAGACTGGCTCAAAAATCACAAGATTGTTTTTTTAATCCCTCATACATGTTGGGTTCTTTTGATTGAACCGCTAGTTTCTGAGCCTTCAGGGAATACTTGGGAAGCATTTTTAAACTTTTCTCCACGACCAGGGGAGCAGCTGGTTGTCTGCAGCGGAGGAGTGGACTCCCCAGGGACTCCCACTCCTACCCAGCAAACAGCCCTGGTCGACAGGCTCACACCTTGGAGGGTGAATGATGAAAAATGCTTGGTGCCAGAGGACACACTAGTATAAAAGCACCCTTGCACACGTGCATCTCCCGCCTGTGCCCCACTCTGTTCTACCAGGAAGAATAACCAGTAGGCTCGAGAAGAGAGACGCGTTCCATGGCCATGCAGTATGCAAATTTTAAACGGGTGTCAATTGGAGCAGACAGGGTGTCAACTGGAGCATGGATCCTGCTGTTGAAAGCTCAGCTGCTGTTACAATAACTATCCATGAACTGGAAATACATTTGGGAGCAATCGTTTCAATCCATCCACGGCACTTGGACGGGTTTTTCCACAGAGGCGTTCCTGTGGCTGCGTCATCTCCCCGTTACGATACAGCGGAGGGCAGAAAGCCGTAGAGCTGTTCAACAAGCGGCGCAGGGTCACAAAATGACTGGTTGGCAGAGAGGTGGGAA